CTTGCTTGCTTGCTTGCACGGCGTTTGGAGCCAAGGGTGACCCCCTGACCCCTGCGCACTCGCGCTACGCCTTCGTCCAGTTGGTCTGTTGGTGTGAGACTAGTGGTGGTTGGCACAAGCAGCTAGGCCCCGTAAACGCACACTCAGCGACATGAACCCTCGCTTGCACTCCCCGCCTAGTCCGCTGTGCTTGTGCCGAACCCCACCTTGTACAGGCGCTCCGCGCTTGGTCGGACCCGAGCGTTGTCGGGCCGACAGCTTGTCGTGAGGGTCCCCTGTTGCTGTCGTCTATGTAACAAGGTGTACGGCACCTACCGTCACTCACTGGAATAAACCGCTGTAACCTTCGAGCCTCAGCAACTTCGGGTCCTCTTTGCAGCTGACTTCTCTCTCTCTCTCTCTCTCTCTCTCTCTCTACCAGGCAAGAGGGAGCAAGCGGACGCTCACCCCCCCGCGTGCGAGTGCGCACCTGCAGTTCATGGCAGGTTTTTGTTGCCCTTGTCCAGCTTCATGGAGAAGGGCTCGGCTGTACGAAAAGCAGAAAAGGAGGTTTGCCGGCAGCTCCCCCGTGATATGACATGTTAAGCAACACACCCCAACCCTCCCCACAAGCAAACAGTCCTAGCGCACGCTGGCTGGTCAAGCCTCCCCCCTTGAATTTCCGAAGACAGGAGGGGCATAGGGAGCGCTGATAAGAACCTAGCATTGGGGCTGGTTGGCCCAGTTGTGTGGCCTGCTTAAAGAGTTCACTCCCCTCCGCTGCCTCGTTGACACTGGAACTTGACCAGCCATGCATAGATCGACGGAGTGAACTACACCAGGGAACTGAGAAGTACATTGGTTCCCCCCAAACGCAAGGCACAAAGGAATTCGCCCGAACACACGCAAAACACATCAATCTGAAAAGATTCCTCCCTTTATGCTGCGTAGGGAAGGTGCGGTACTGGTCGGTGCATCGAAAACACATGCATGGCACGGAAATCAATCCTATTGGACAAAATGTCCCCCGGTTCGCTCATTGCTCAGTACTGGCCTGTTGTCGTCTTCGGTCTTCGCGGATTTTTGCCATGTGTGCTTGAGTCGTAGCACAGCTTGCCACTGCCTGTTGGGTAACGGCAGCACCTGGTCCCCCTGCGCAGTCTGCTTGTTTGGTTCCCCGTCTCCCCCAAGACCACATGTAGGAGGTGTCGGATTCATCGGCCAGGTCCGCAGGCTCTACAGTCTCCCCTTCGGTCTCGTCCACGGTGTCATCCCCCCAGTCTGGCACACTGCTTTCGTCTTTACTGAACTTTACTGCGTTCCCTTGCCACATGCTTCGCGGGCTGGGACCCCCCCGCCGGGGACTCCGTGTCAGTGTGGTTCGTCACTTCACTGCGCTCCTTTGTCACATGCTGTTTTGGCTTGGGCTGCCCCCGGAGCTTCGTGTCAGTGTGGTTTGTCAGTTCGTCTGGTGTCTGGTCGTGGCTTTGGCTCCCCCGTGCTTCACGAAGTCGTTTGCTGCGAGTTGGCACCGAGGTCGGGCTGGTAGTGCTCCTCGGTGTTCGCTCCTGAGGCGTCCCCCGCTGTGGAGGCTGTACTCGCAGCTTTTTCGCGCAGATGCACCAACCCCAGCTCGATTTCTGTTGACAGCTTAAGCTCTTTGCAGCACAGCTGGGTGGCACGAACACACTGGTGGCATAGGCGCGGAGTCCTGTAACAGAGGAGGTCAAGGAGGCAGCTGTCGACGGCATTCCACTGAATTTTTGCACGGTCAGTCTTGAGAGCACACAGTCTCTCTGAGCAAGTTGCAGGCGCTTCCACTCCCAGTGGCCAAAGTGGTAGCAGCGTGTCTGCAGCAAGCTGAGGAACATACTCGTGCTGAAAGCTCGGGAGGGGCTCAAAGTACACGCCCGCCTAACAGGAATGTGGCTCGGTTTATGTTGGCAGGAAATGCTCGGTTTATGTTGGTAGGAAGTGCTCGGTTTATGTTGGTAGGTGGTGCTCGGTTTATGTTGGTAGGTGGTGCTCGGTTTATGTTGGTAGGTGGTGCCCGGTTTATGTTGGTAGGCGGTGCTCGGTTTGTGTTGGCAGGAAGGGCTCGGTTTATGTTGGTAGGTGTGGTTCGGTTTATGTTTGGCTACTCCAGAGCCTTGTCGTTGTGCAGCAGAGCCACCAAGCGGACAGTCTTGAGAAGCTCAGCAATGCTTGTTGCGCGCTCCTCAGCGCAGATGCACCAACCCCAGCTCGATTTCTGTGGACAGCTTAAGCTCTTTGCAGCACAACTGGGTGGCACGGACACACTGGCGGCGTAGGCGCGGAGTCCTGTAAGAGAGGAGGTCAAGGAGGCAGCTGTCGACGGCATTCCACTGAATTCTTGCGCGGTCAGTCTTGGGAGCGCACAGTCTCTCTGAGCAAGTTGCAGGCGCTTCCACTCCCAGTGGCCAAAGTGGTAGCAGCGTGTCTGCAGCAAGCTGAGGAACATACTCGTGCTGAAAACTCGGGAGGGGCTCAAAGCACACGCCCCCCTAACAGGAATGTGGCTCGGTTTATGTTGGCAGGAAGTGCTCGGTTTATGTTGGTAGGAAGTGCTCGGTTTATGTTGGTAGGTGGTGCTCGGTTTATGTTGGTAGGTGGTGCTCGGCTTATGTTGGTAGGTGGTGCTCGGTTTATGTTGGTAGGAAGGGCTCGGTATATGTTGGTAGGTGTGGTTCGGTTTATGTTTGGCTACTCCAGAGCCTTGTCGTTGTGCAGCAGAGCCACCAAGCGGACAGTCTTGAGAAGCTCAGCAATGCTTGTTGCGCGCTCCTCCGCGCAGATGCACCAACCCCAGCTCGATTTCTGTGGACAACTTAAGCTCTTTGCAGCACAACTGGGTGGCACGAACACACTGGTGGCGTAGGCGCGGAGTCCTGTAACAGAGGAGGTCAAGGAGGCAGCTGTCGACGGCATTCCACTGATTTTTTGCGCGGTCAGTCTTGAGAGCACACAGTCGCTCTGAGCAAGTTGCAGGCGCTTCCACTCCGAGTGGCCAAAGTGGTAGCAGCGTGTCTGCAGCAAGCTGAGGAACATACTCGTGCTGAAAGCTCGGGAGGGGCTCAAAGTACACGCCCCCCTAACAGGAATGTGGCTCGGTTAATGTTGGCAGGAAGTGCTCGGTTTATGTTGGTAGGAAGTGCTCGGTTTATGTTGGTAGGTGGTGCTCGGTTTATGTTGCTAGGTGGTGCTCGGTTTATGTTGGTAGGAAGGGCTCGGTTTATGTTGGTAGGTGTGGTTCGGTTCATGTTTGGCTGCTCCAGAGCCTTGTCGTTGTGTAGCAAAGCCAGCAAGCGGACAGTCTTGAGAAGCTCAGCAAAGCTTGTTGCGCGCTCCTCAGCGCAGATGCACCAACCCCATCTCGATTTCTGTGGACAGCTTAAGCTCTTTGCAGCACAACTGGGTGGCACGAACACACTGGTGGCGTAGGCGCGGAGTCCTGTAACAGAGGAGGTCAAGGAGGCAGCTGTCGACGGCATTCCACTGAATTTTTGCGCGGTCAGCCTTGAGAGCACACAGTCTCTTTGAGCAAGTTGCAGGCGCTTCCACTCCCAGTGGCCAAAGTGGTAGCAGCGTGTCTGCAGCAAGCTGAGGAACATACTCGTGCTGAAAGCTCGGGAGGGGCTCAAAGTACACGCCCCCCTAACAGGAATGTGGCTCGGTTTATGTTGGCAGGAAGTGCTCGGTTGATGTTGGTAGGAAGTGCTCGGTTTATGTTGGTAGGTGGTGCTCGGTTTATGTTGGTCGGTGGTGCTCGGTTTATGTTGGTAGGAAGGGCTCGGTTTATGTTGGTAGGTGTGGTTCAGTTTATGTTTGGCTACTCCAGAGCCTTGTCGTTGTGCAGCAGAGCCACCAAGCGGACAGTCTTGAGAAGCTCAGCAATGCTTGTTGTACGCGCTCCTCAGCACAGATGCACCAACCCCAGCTCGATTTCTGTGGACAATTTTCCCTTCTGGGTGGCACGAACACACTGGTGGCGTAGGCGCGGAGTCCTGTAACAGAGGAGGTCAAGGAGGCAGCTGTCGACGGCATTCCACTGAATTTTTGGCGTGCTCAGTAGACCTGCCGGCTTCTTTAGAGCCTCCTGTGTGGCTGTCTTTCTCTGCACCCTGAAGGCACGCCTGTCTCCCTTCTCTGTGGGAATCTCTGGCTCCCAATGCTGTCGCTGACCTGCCGGGATTTCAACGGCTTTGATGTCCTCTCCTGTCATTAGATCAGGGATGACACGTTCTTGCTTGAGATAGCTGTCAAGCCGCGTTTTGCCCTTGCCTTTGCGACCTCGGAAGCGGTCGTAGCTCGCTTGGATCCCAGACAGCAGTCGTCTGGCGACAAAGCTGAGGCCCTGATTCGTCACCGTTGGCTGACGATGCTGATGCGCTTCTTGGACGAAGTGAAGTAGCGATATGCAATACAGCAACCAAAAGGTGCATCGGATCTGCTCGCTCACATCCGCCATAGAATAGCCCACCTGCTCCTCGTGTGACTCCACTAGGATCTCCTTGGCCGCATCCATCTCCAAATATGGATCTTCCGTCGCCTTCTTCTCTTCCTGAAGAAGACTCTGCAGACCCATCCGGAGCTCTCCACTGCTGCCACTTGGTGCTTCTGGACTGAAGTCCCTCGCAGTCCGTTCCCCTCGAGGTGGAGTCGATAACCCTCGTGTCCATTGCAGTGGTGCAAGGCCTGGTCTTCCGGCCTCTGGGTCAACGAATCCTTGAGTGCACTGCAGCGGTGCCATGCCTGGTCTTCCTGCCTCTGGGTCGACAAAGCCTTCTGTGTCATCTGCCGCTCGTTTCCTCTTCAACTGCGGGCTTGGAAGTCCTGGAATTGTGGATGCCGGCGATGCTGACAGAGCGTCCATCACAGTCACAGCGGGTGAAGCTGGCGAAGCTGCCGAAGCCTCCTGCTGTGTCGGAGACAACGGAGCCGAGCTTGCTGCTGGTGTCACGTTCCAGGACATGGAGCTGTGCGAAGCCATGAAGGCTCGCGGCTTGCTGCACTGCCGGCTTGAGACAAAAGGCTGACGGTGCCGGCTGGGACCTTGGAAAGGGTTTGCTTTTGGTTTTGGGAGGGTTCTAGTGTCTGGGGCCACGGGGTTTAGGATTTAGTTGCGTTGGTCGACGGGTTGCTGTCTCCGCGCGCGGGATGCTCGGCTGATTCTGATTACAGATAGGAAAGTCGATGGGGTCCAGCGGCCCAAAGATTGAATCAAGATGCCCGGATGAGTCTGGGGAAAGTCGACCCACCCCAGGGTTTCCCAATTCTTGCTTGTCTTTCCCCGTTCAATTGCCGAGCGAAACCCCTCCAGAAAGGCCGTAGGCTGACCTCGGCTTGGCAGCTCATCCCAACGGAAAGAACTTCTCCCAAGGACTGGAAGTCACCGTCGGCTGTGGGGAGCCGGCACGACGATCGCCAACGAAGATATCGCGATGAGCAGTGTCACTCGACATCACAGCACACTTGCCACAACAAAGATCAAGCTCACGGCCTTGCACCCCAGCGGCAAGCTTGCAACACACATTGCTCAATCCGCATCGAAGTCGCAAGCTTTGCAACCAAATCCAAGGCCTGGTTAAGCTTTGCGACGACTTTCTGGGACTAAGAGACGTGTCCCATAAGTCTCAAATGCCTCAAGCGAAGAACCTCCGGCCCAAAGGCCGCAACGGTCTGTCCGTCAGGGCCCTGTTTGGGGAAGAGCGGCCCCACATGATCCCACATGCGTGCAACTCGTGTCATGCCGTACACACCAACAATGGGACCAACACCAACAATGGGACCAACAATTCCTAAACCTGTTGCACGTTGGTCATCCGGGGCTCGTCTGACTACCCTGGTCCCGGGGTCCCGATGTCATCCCCCACGCAGGCAACACTGCCTATAGGAATCCTACAGGAACTATAGCAGCATAGCAACACAAGTAGCATAGCACCGTCGTTACTTTTACAACACGGTGGGCCATGATTCTCCTTAACTGGAAACCCCTTCGGATCATCGAGGCTCCTCATAACCTCTCTCCGTCCCTGTCCGTTTTCCTCTTCTCAAAAAGTCGCACTTTCAGGCGTCGCCTCGAGAAGTCTTGGAAAAGCAGAACCTTCAGGATCCACCTGGAGTGAACGACATCAGCTGAAATCCATTGCACACCGTTACCGGCCCACCTCATGCAGGCGCTGGTCAATAACGACCAGATCAGCGAGCACCTGGAAATTGCAGCCGCAGGCGCATGACCAAAACGTGTCTGTACTGCTCGGTATATGTTGAAGACATGACAATGACGTCCTCGACGTCGAACATATGATGCCTCTTGAGGCAAACCTCAGGGTCGTCACCAAAACGGCGTGCAAGACGAAAAGCAATAGCGAACGTTCGCCTTCCTCGCGCCCATGACGTCTTCAGCAAGATATGCTTCAGTATAGCTACCACGCCCGAGGTGACGAAGGATGCGAAATCTGTCCTCCACTTGGAAACATCCCAACAGCGTCAAGATCGGGCTCGAGAATGCACAGTGCGAAACCGCATGCGGCTCTCCTGAATAAGTTGCCCTGGCTGAGCTCTCCATTGCAGGCATTCCCGTGCAAGCGGTCCGACCATATCGGGCTGCAAATGGATAGGAATTATCGACCTGGGGTAGAACATGTCACGATACATCGGAGACGGGAGTAGTAAGTTGGGCACACGATGTCGACTTTCGAAGGAGCCGGTTCGCTCGTTGCTCCAGGAGCGCTGACTGCATTGCAGGATGCCTTTCAAAAGGTGATTCTGCCCCGTCACTGCCATGCTTCCATCGGCGTGGGATCCAACTGGCTCTGCCTGACACTTAACATGACGCGTTGCTTGTGGCGCTTGTGGGATTCTCGGCAGTTCTCGGCCGGACCAGGCAGCTGCCAATTCCTGCGCATCCACTGAAAGCTTGCACAGCCTTGACCCCATCTGCATTCTGATTCTACATCTCGCAGCATCGGTTCATGCCAGTGTGTACTGTCCTCTGCATGCCACACACATACCACTTGCACGGCAATCAATGGCCAGGGCTGCCACTTGGATGGCGGCGCGCCCTGCCCGCTTTCAAGCTGGCGTCCGCTCTTGCGACCCCCTGCTCGCGCACCATACTAAAATCACCGAAGAGTGCAGGAGAGATACCGACTCGTTGAAATCAGCGGCAATCCAACACCACCTCGTCAGCAGAAGCTTGTCACAGCAGCATGGTGTGGCACGAATTGCTCACGAGCATGGATTCCACTTGCTGAGCTTATGGCTTGCAATACTGCCTTGGTACCCGCAGTTTCTTGAAGGATAGTACTTTCCGATGTTGCTATGTCAGAAGTCAAAATCCGAGCAGGCTCAGGTGCTGTTGATCGCATGGGCTCAAAAACAGCTCGCCGCCTGAAGCCGGTAAAGGAGTGCTCGACAACGAAACTGGTATTGCTGGTGGTCGAAAGCTAACGACAGATTCTGCAATGATCTCACTCCGTGCATCGAGCACCCTTGCCCCATCCTGTCCTTCCGCCTTGCAGGATATGCATCGCGCCACACTATGGAGCTGGAAATCGAAGCAAAACTCACCTTCACTGATGCGCAGCTTCTAAGATTACGGAAATCCACGCCGCGAGCCGTAGTGCCGTAGTTCGAAGGCCGAGGCACTGCGGCTCAGCAGCTTCGCATCCAGCTCAGGTGACGTGCGGCTGCGTCTCAAGTGTGCAGCTTCAGCTCCATCACCGAACATGTGGGTGGCTGTAGCCATCCTCGCCAAGCGCGAGCACTCTGGAACTGGCCAGGTGTGCCTTCATGCAGAAAATATCAAGCTTACCATGAACTTGTTGCTTCCCCCACTATTCTGGTTCTGACTCGTCGTCTTGTTGAGCCTGCATCGACAATCCTGGCTCCTGACTTCTACAACTTTTGCGGCTCATTGGCTCATGCTCTTTTTTGACCTGCTCTGGTCTTGTCATTGCGGCTTCGCGGCATGTACTTCCGGAGCACCTGCTGAAAACGCTGCACTTGCTCCGTAGCAATGCCTGCCTGCCCCTCCAACCCTGAGTTCAAGCCTGCTCAGCATTGTGAAATAAGCAGGTGGCATGGAGGTCTCAACCGGTGGAATGGGTGACTCACCCGAAAGCAGGGATAGCTGGGCATCTAGCACCTACAGCAAGCGCAGTGCACAATTATAAGCCGTCTCTCTTCTCGAAGCGCATAGCGAACGCGCGGTCTGGATCAACTTGGGCCGCAACATTCTATACCAAGATGCCATTGACTGCATCCATCACTACATAAACTTTCTACAGGTCTTCATCGGTTTTGCAGCTGCCCGTCACCGTGGCCTGAAGCCCGATTTGCTCACTACGATCACATTGTCACCTGTCGTGGGCAGCGTCCGCCTTGCCCGGGACGGCACCTTCGCCGTGTAATACAGCACTCCTGCCTTTGTCTTGTGGATTTTTGCATTTTTGCTCTTTGCGAATCTCTCGCCAAGAATACTGTTTATGTTTTGGGATGCGAGTGATGCTCGCATTTTGGAAACCGCGTGGTTCGAGGGTCGCGAAATCGTGGAACGCCCTTTCGCGTTCTTTGATGTGACAAGCGCAAGTCGGACCGAAACTGCAATGTCAAAAACTACTGCAGCAACGGCACTGCGATTCGTCAGGGCATGTCCTGGTCTGGAGCCGCTGACGATGCACTGTTGTTGGAAGTTATCATGTCACAACAATAGCGACCTCCTCGAACACGAGGATGGAGCAGATGCGCTCTGAGAGTGCCGTGGCTGCCTTGCGTGAGAGCACAGCGCAAGACTTGCTTTCTGCTGGTCGGCACACTTACAAACCAATCCAAATACGACACATGGTGCCACGCTGACTCTCATGCAGGCAAAGCTTAAAATTGGATCTTTTCCTCAAGATGCGACATGGGTGCTGCCTCACCAGCTTACTGGGAGGAAGTCATAAAACTGCAACCAATTAATTTTGTATCCACGTGCCGCAAACCGGGAAGCAGCTGATAATCGTTCGCAGTTAAGGCCCAAGCTCTTGGACACTCTGACTCGGCGACGTCTGCAAATTCCACCGCGGCGCCTTCTTGTTATGAACAGGATGCACTGAAGAACCGCCCTGAAGTCATTTTGAACCAAGCTTCTCCTATCTGTTCAATCTCGAACTGCAGAACGACAGGGTTGTCGTCCGCAGACGGGTCGTCTTCGCCGACCTTCGGAAACCGAAACAGCGCAAATTCCACACCCCGACAACCTAACTACGCCACATAAAAGCCATGAGAACATCCACACTATCTTTCCGTCTGGCCTCTATCGAAGCCTTTTTCGAGACTTGCTGCTTGCGCTTTTGCAAGGAAGATCGATTTGGGAATCAGGGTCGCATTCAGCAGCGGGGCAGCAAAAGCAAAAGAAGCATCTGCAGTATTTCAGCTGTGGTCCCACCTGTAGATCAGAAAGCTTCTAGAATGCGCCGTACCTGTATCATACATACGAGTATGTATATGCATGTCTGTCTCTATATATATATACACACACACACACATACATACATACATACATACATACATACATACCCTCCTATATGGGGTCCTCTGTTTTGTCAAAAAGCAAACAACCAATAACCAACAAAACCAATAAAACAAATTACCAATCAACCAATAAACCATTAACCAATCACCAATAAGCCAATCCGTTCTTTGCCATGGGCAGGGCCAAACCAATAAACCCATAACCAATAATCCAAAGACCAATACAACAATAACCAATAAACCAATAAACCAATCGCTTCCCCCTACGGGCCGAAGCAATTGGTTTATGGGTTCGTGGTGTATTTGCGTACTGGTTATTTGCTTATTGATTGGATGTATTGCTGTATTGGCTTTCCTGATCTCATTATTGACACAGATGTTTTGGCTCAAGAGGGGCAGAAACCATACTCACTAAACCAAAAAACCAATCCCTTATTTTTCTACGGGCAAAGCAACTGGCCAAATGGGTGGTTTGTGTGTTGTTGGTTATTGGCATAAGTCAAGCTGTGGCAACAACCATACTCATAAACCAATATATATCAACCACCAGAGAACCAACAACCAAGAAACCAATAAACATATAAACCAATAACTAATGAACCAATAAGCCCATCCCTTCTCCATGCGAGCCAAAGCTTATTGCCTATTGTGGTTTATTGGTTTATCGGCCTCCCTCTATGAACCGATTCTCCCTCCCCCTATGAGCAGAATCCATCGGTTTATTGGTAATTAGTTTATTGGTTCGTTGGTTATGGGTTTGTTGGTTACTGGTTTGTTGGTTATTGGTAATAGGCGTAATTGGTTTGTTGATGTATTGGTTTGTGGTTTACTCGTGATTGGTTTATTAGATTTTGTTTTATTGGTTATTACCGAAAGCTTCGGCGACGGGTTCTTCGTTGGAGGGTTCCTCGGTTGGCATAGATGCATCTATTTTATATAAACTTAGTACTGTCCTACTTCAATTTAAATTAACAGCATCCTACTGATGTCTCAATATATGTTACTTATTTAAGGGGCTGCGCCCAGAGTCGGGCAACGCAGGCAATTCATTCATTCATGCATTCCTTCATTCATCCATTCAATCAATCCATCAATCAATCATTCACTCAATCAATCATTGGGCGTGGGGCAGAGAAGGGCGTGCGCGCGGGGGTGCGGGGGGGTGGGAGGCGCGCGAGCGCGGGCGGCTTGCACCTCGTTTTTTTATGAGGGGTTATGCAAAAAGTGGACGATCCCTCGTAAAAAAGCGATGCGTCGTGGGGCTCAGGACTGACTGGCTCTGCGGCGCCGTTGCTACTAAGCTTGGGCGCCCAATCAGGAAAACGAGGTCCGAGGCATTTTCGTGTTCTTGTGATTTTAAGACACGACACGCCGGATCCCCACAAGGGGTTGCGCTCAGTGAATCACCCGCATCGGGTTTAAACTGTTGAAACAAAACTCTTTCACATAGGGCATTTTGAAGTGTCTGGGCTTCCGGAGCGGCCTGGTGCCTTGATTTCGCCTTTGTCTTAACTGTTGTCGAAATCCGCAGAAAGCTCAGTGATGCAAACGTCATCAAAAGCCGATGTTGGACAAGGCCTGAGAACAAACTAGTTGGATGTACCTAGCAAAGTGTTGCTGTATATGTATCAAAAAGCTAAGCAGTTGCAGAGCAAGGCTTCAAGCATATCAGCACATCTGCATCTTCGTTCCGAAAGCAACAGTACGCCTGTGCAGCTGAAGACGAGTTGTTTTGCCTCCTGCATTGCTGCGCGAGTCATTTGGCAGGGTGAGAGCCAGGTAGCATGTTCGTAAATTGTCATGCAAGGAACATCTTGAAGAAGAGCGCAGCCAAGGGATGGAAACTACGAACCTTCATCCCACAAGACAGCCCCCACTCATATGTATATATATAAAGTTATATATATATATACATATATATATACATGTATACGTATATATACATATGTATATGTAAATGTATGTATGTATACACATGCACCTATATATACATATATATATATATGTATGTATATGTATATGTATATGTATATATTTGTATATACA